AGGTATTTTTTTTCAGCACTGTTTTATGCTACAGTATTGTAACAGTGGAAAGTAGATAATGCTTTCTTGAAAGAACAGTTGTTTCAGTTTCGCATCTCCTTCTCTTAACTGTCTCCCAATCCATATAAATACATAAGGCTATGAAAACTGCAATTCCTCTCAGTTCAACCTACATCTGGTATTTTCTGTTGCTTTTTTGCATTTACCTATGTTTCTGTATCAAAATAGAGATTAAAAACTGGGGTGGTCCTCTGAAGCAATGATGTAGAAAAAATATCTTTAAAGGGGTCTATAATTGTAATGATGTTAAAATAACAAAATGATTTCTAGTACTCACGTTAACGCTACTTTAGCCTCTTATAAGGGTTACTTCTCTCTTCTTTTTGCCTGGAATTTGAGTATTTTTATCTTCTGAGGGTTTGGAAAAAAAAATTTCATAACATTTTTATTGCTGCACTGGTGGCCATAATATCTGGAGTTATATGCATGTTTCAACCAATAAAGTAATTATCACCCAACCCAAATGTCTTTATTTAGTATTTAGCAAAAATGATACCAACAGCAGCGATCAGCTATTTCTAAACATCTCATTCTGTTTTAAAACTTACAGATTCAGTTCCTCTCTATGTTGCTGGAGAAAAAAAAATGATATAACTTAATTAAAGCATATCGGGTTGATATGTACAATAAATAAGATCCTATACATCAAAAGCTTGAAAATGTGTTTATATGAAAATGATTTTTCTAGTCCTCATCATTTTGTAAAGATTCAAAGCACTGGATGGGTTTTGAATAATATGTAGCTCAATCTTTTCATAAAGGCCTAAAATATAACACAATTGTCTTGTGATTGTTTTCTACCGTGAAGCCCTACTGATTTTCTTATGTAGCTTTTATCACAATAAAACCTAACAATACATTTCTAATATACAAACACTAATGAATTTCTTTGCAGCATCTCTTTGATGTAGGATGCTCTTATTATTCTCCAACTTACAGTTAGGTAATTAAGACTTGAGATTTATTGTCCAATCCTTAAAGCTTTTTTATTAATAGAAGAAAAAGAATGAATAGTGCTTACATTGTCCTAGAATTGAAAAAAGATTGAAAATTGAAAAAAATTGTTAATGTCATGGACAAATTAGAAATTTAGTCAAGTGCTCCCAGGTCATAGTACTTGAGCTTTTATGTATCACTATGCCCATGGTTTCTCTCCATGTCTAATTCATTGTAAAACTTTTTATTAATTTTCCATTGTTTAACAAGCTGTAATTACATATACACAATTTCAAATTATAGAAAATGCACTGTTTGCTGGAAAAAGATACTACATTGAGTCATACATTTTATTTAATGCAGGCACAATTGTAGGTAAAAATCTGTAAACTTGAGATTATTGATCAAATTCATTGTATTTCAACTATGAAATGTTAAAATAAATGTTCCTCAAAAGCTCATTTTTTAAAAATAAAATTGAATCCTATTTAATGTAGTTTTTTCCCCACAGCAATTACCTCATGCATTTAAAAGAGTAAATAGAAAGAAATGGCAGAGGACAGGAGACAAGATGTGCCTTGGGTAAATGTTTTAGTTTACTTAGAACACACAGGTTTCTACTTTATGATGGAACTATCCTTTGCTGAGAAAACATTGACAAATTAGCATCTACTTAGACATTATTTTCTCACATGGTCATGGAGGAGAGACTGGGAACATACATAATGGCAAGCCCTGCCCCTCCCGTATAATTTTCTATCAATATGGACTCCTACATGGGCTGTAGGGCAAACATCTAAGTAGAAGTCTCTGCTTACATGCAGAGACTAAAATCAGGGTTTTAGATCTTGTAAGAAGCCTGAAATAGAAGACAAACTTAACAGAGGTAACTCTTTTGGTACTTAGAAGGCAGAGGAGATGGTGAATGGAGTAGAGCTATCACCTTTACTCTTCCTTTTTACATTTTGATTCTGTGCACCACTGAAACATACATAGGAGCCGTTGGCTATATTCTTTCTCAGACCACTCGGAGCAAAAGTAATAGGTGACTAGATAGAATATTTATTTGACTAGTAGTGTACAGTATTTTGTCACAGTATTTTTTGATATTTCTACAGTTTAAAATGATTACATTCCAAGAGCCAAAGTACAAAAAGAATGAAAAAAAATCATGGAAATTATGAGAGAAATTATACTAAATATAAATGATTACATAATTACTTTGTACAATAGTTCTTAGAAAACCCAGTTCTAAGAAGCAAAGATCCAAATAGCAATTGATCCATGCACGTGGGCCTCATTGTTATGAAAGTCAAAGAGAAGGAAATTGATACCTTGTTTGTATAAGATCAAGTCAAGGAAAGTTGCAAACAGAGAGAAATGAGAAAACTCTACAATTGGTGAGATTAAAGGGAACTGAATAAACTTTGAAGGCTAAGGGAAGCTTAAATCTATAAACAAAAAAAACTCAGGTCACAACAAAACCTCACAATTAAGAGAAACAGTATTAATACCAGTAGAATATTACTTTATAAGAATACACTTGGAATAATTTTCTCCCTGATACTAACACAAACCTTTAAAGGTTCTTTATAGAAAAGAGACACTACTTTTTCTTGCAGAGCATGGAATCTCTCTGCCAAGAAACATGGGATAGACATATGCCTGTTATTTAGCAATGACTGGAGTAGTTTTCTTTTGTTGATGTCACACGTGCAAAAACCATGAAATCAGTTGTGTGTCTAAAACAACCCTTGCCCAGCCATTTTAATGTTACAGCAACCAGCCATCTTCCCCATTTTTTTCTGACAAAAGATGTTGCTTCTTACTTAGGTAAAAGTGAATGAAGTAACTCTTTGTATATGCATAATAGTACATGTTTATTTAAAATACTAATACAGCTCCATTCAATGTTTCCAGGTAAATTTACAAAAACAAAGTAAAATACTAATTCAAATAAAACATAATTTAAAATATGTTAAAACAAAGCAAACAAGCAAAGCAAACACCCCCCCCCCCAGCACTGTTTGCGTCAGATTAATTTTCTGGGCGGGAAATTCCATTCATGGCCATCACAATCAAAGTTATCTAAAATTACTATACCTTTCAGACTTTGGATAGCAGGGAGACCTGGATGATAACTACGTATGCAGTTTTTTGTAGCAGCAAATATTCTTAAAGTAACTGAGTCCTGAGTTATACAGGGTTTAAAGCACCAGTGTTTTAAATTAAATTTGAAATAGACTGGTAGCTAGAGAATTTCTAACAGCATTAAGTGCATTAGAAATATAATTGTCTCTCTAGTTTTTGAGATTTAAAACAAGATATTGATGTGAAATGTATAAGAAATCTAGTATCACTGTAAATAAGAATAATTGAATACTCATGGTTTTAATATTCCAAAAAAGAATTTTACAAAATGTGAGCGCTAGACATTTTTGGTGTTTCTTGTTTGGAGGTGAAGAGAGACATCTCAAGTTTGCCAAAGTATACATCCATCATTACCAAAATATTTTGCTGCATGGGGAACGAGGAAAACAGCAGCACTTGACTGTCCCTACTCTGCTTCCGAAATCCCTCGCTGTGGTATTAAGGGAACAGGGAGACACCAGACTCGCACTTCATCATCTGTCTTTCTAATAA